TCAGCTCTGGTGACGGTGTATTTGACACCTCCGATGTGGAGTCCCTTTGATTGGAATTCGGCGACGTTTCCAGACATAATAGCGTTAGCGATGGTTGTGGCTTCAGCTTGTTGGATGGTCATTCCAACTTGTGACATGATAGCGCCATTAGTAGCAAGGATGATTCCTCCGTGTCCCTTTCCTGCTCCGATGATTGATGCTGTGTATGCGTCCCAAGCCATGATGAATGATATAGTCCTTTGATGAACTTATTATATAAGAAAAGACACGTATGTGTTTTTCTCTCCTCTTCTTTTTTCTCAGATTCCGTCCTTATCTGTCCTCTCGTTCGGGCATTTTCTCGAACTATTTATTCAGATTTTCGAGTTTGAAGTTTCTTCGCCAATTTAATAAAAGGTTCGCATATTTAGAATATTATTTATATCAAGTAAAAATTAAGTTTGTCATTTGTTGTATTTATAGTTGTACTTAATATTTTTATAGTTTTATATCATGAAAAATTATAAACACACTTGCTAATTTGATGGTTTCAAATTTTTCAGATACTCAACTCTTGATAAATATTTCTGATAGTTTATTAATAGTTATTTTAATTAATTATTTTTAGCTTTTTATAAATTATTTGTACTTTTTGTTGAACTGTTTTTCTTGAAATAAGATGATATAGTATATATATAATAAAACAACCATATTAATTATTTTACTTTATTTTTACATTTTATTTTTTATAAAAATAGACTTTTTTATGAACTATATTTAATTAACTTTTCAAAACCTTTAACAAGTTATTTTAAAGTTATAATTTAACTTAACAAAATTACATGAAGAAATGAATTACACAAAAAGTCAAGTGTAATTATCTTTGTTAAACAATTTGAACATTTTCTTTTACAATTTCGGGAATGACAAATAAATCCAAATAAAAACTGAAAAAGTATGAGACTTTGATCATCAAACTATAAATTAAAACTTTATAAAGTTTTTTTTACAAATAAATATAATCTCGGGCCACAAAATGGCAAAATAATAAAATGCAATTGAACATTATTACTTTATTAAATATTTTTAATAACGATATTCTATAATTCGTTTTACAAAAAAGAATAAAAAATATACCATCATTAAATAAAATTAATGTGTCGTTAAAAAGGTATAAATCTCATAAAAAAGTGAAACTTAAAAAGGTTTAAATTAGATTTGAATAGAGCAACCTTTGTGAATAATGTTAAGGTTTTTTTGTTATAAACTTAAAAAACTGAATTATATTAAAATTTTATTCAAACATAAAACATTAGTAACCAATAAATGCATTCATTTAGAAAGAAATAGCTCCTTGTCCACAAGCACCAGCGCAGTTTTGGCACTCACAGCATGCGTCAGCATTGACGACAACAGACTTCTCTTCTTTCATTTCCAAGACAGCACATGGGCATGCATCGACACATGCAGAACAACCAACACACTTTTCGGCGTCAATAACTGGTGGCATTTGAATAAAACAAGATCAAACAGAATTATTTAAATATGACGGAATAAAAGGTATAATTTTTGGATTTCATTCTTTTCTTCTTCATTCGAATATTCTATAATGGAAATTCCATCGAAAAACCGATGTTTCTTCTTATTCGAGTTTTTCAAAAAGAATATATTTAATAAATATGGTATAATTTAATTATTATAACAATTAATGTTGTTATTTAAAAAAAGCAAAAATAAGTGGTTTGTTGTGTGAAAATGGAATTTACACTATTTTTCAATGGTTTTTCAAGTGGTAATCTGTGGAAATTTATATTTTTAATATTAAATTTTTTATTTTTAAATATTATAGTTATTTTATATATAAAATATAACATATTAATAGTAAATAAAAATAGTATAACAAACCTAACAAGATCAATATGTTTCGACAAGTTTGTTTTCAATATTTTTAAAAATTTGTCAGTCAAAAAAAAAGAATAAAATTGTAAAATTTTAATTGAATTTAATTATTTTTATTGTTTATAATAATATTAATATATAATTGATATTACAGTAGGGGG